CAAACATGAACCCAATCAGGTCATATCAGTGAGCATTTCTCGGGTTTAAACTGTGGCAGAAGAAGGTTACTGACCTTGGTTTGTTGTGCAGCTCAGCAGTGAGATCAGAACTAAAGAGAAATGACACTCAGGTTGATTTGAGGTGAACATAAAGAACAACTCCAGCCGACAAACACAAACTCGTCTCTCTGATATATCTGCTCATTTCTATTTGATGCCTGCAACATATTTAAAATATAATTGGTTGAAAATCTTTTCATCCATCCTTCCCAAACACTTATCTGAGTTGAGGCAGAGGGAGAGTTAAACATAAAGCCTGGACCGCTCGCTTGCTTGATGGCATTGGAAAATGTCAGGCAAGGTATACGTTTTTGAACTTTAAACTGTATTTATGTTTTCCCACTTTTTCTACTGATAAAGACCTCGCTACAGACCCTCATACCACACCAAAGTAAGTAAGTAAGTAACAGACAGAAACCAGTCACTGTCATATTCACACCTACAGCCAGTTTAGAATCACCAGTTAACTCTCGTTGTTGTGTTCCAGTCAAATTTGAGAGATTTAAAAGTTTTATTTCTGAAAAATGTAGTTTAATTTGATTAGACTGATATAAGATTCAGTGACTTTGTCCACTAAGAGGATTTCAACACACCAGTATTAGTTTATCATGATGTATGCTCAAACACCCAATATTAGTTTGCATACAATTTTCTGTGTTTTATTTACCACTTCTACATTCTTGGTGTTTACTGTCAAAAATGACCAGTCATTAGAAATGAATGAGAGAGACAACAATTAGACAATTACTGTAAATAACTGAGATCAGGTACATCTCCATTTGTCAGATGGACACATCAGCACATGCAAGCATGTACACACATACAGGTTTCCTGGAAACCACTACAGAAACGTTTGCCCCGTAGAGCCTCTCTTCCACGGGAACAACTCCTGTGTTGGCATTTCTCACAAACATTTGCAACATTTTTCAGTAGTGTTGAACATTTCTTGTAGCTTTCGTGTATGATTTTTTAAGACCTTCCTTGCAGGTAACTGTGTGGCAGCTCCATGGCAGGTATATACATCCTAAGTTAGGCTCTTTACTACATTATTTAATCACTACACTGGTGAGAAAGAGCAAGGCCAGGAAATTGGCAGCGAGAATGATTTAGATGAAGAATGTCAGAAACTCATCCAGATCAAGAAATGACTGGTGAGGACTAATTCAGTGATGAAAAGTATTGCCATGCTGAGGCTGCTGTCGCATTCGAGTCAAAGAATGGAAACTTCTCCCCACCTGAGAATCAAGTTAGGTTTTCAGCTGAAAATGTTGCGTGGATGATCACGGGACCTATACGATGTATAATATTCCTGACTGAGTCAAACCCATAGTGATAAAACTTGGTAAGAGAAAGATTTACAAAGACTACTAGAAGAAGATAACCCAAAAAGACATCAAAGCATACATTAGTCTTTTGACTTTGAGTGGTGTGTACAGATACGGAAATTAATCTACCATTAGTTTAAGGGGAGGGAGAGCCTTCAGTTTTCAGGCCCCTCTTCTGTGGAACCAGCTTCCAGTTTGGATTCGGGGGTCAGACACTATCTCTACTTTTAAGATTAGGCTTAAAACTTTCCTTTTTGCTAAAGCATATAGTTAGGGCTGGACCAGGTGACCCTGAATCCTCCCTTAGTTA